GGGGCAGGACACGGGCCCCGGGCGCGGGGACACAGCGTGGGGGCATGGCACAGCCCCCTTCGCGTGGGGACACAGTGCAGGGACACGGCCCGGCCCCTTCCCGTGGGGATGCCTACAGCCTCCTTCAGGTGGGGACGCGGCACAGGGACATGGCCCGGCCTCCTTCCCATGGGGACCCAGCATGAGGACACGGCCCACGCGGTGTATGGCGACGGCGTGGCCCCTTTCACCAGGAGACACGGTGCAGGGACATGGCACAGGTCCCTTCACCGGGGACATAGTGTGGGGACATATCATGGCCCCCTTTGCATGGGGACACAGTGCAGGGACATGTCACAGCCCCCTTCAGGAGGAGACACGGTGCAGGGTCATGTCACGGTCCCCTTTGCATGGGGACATGGTAAAGGGGTGTGTCACGGTCGCCTTGGCATGGGGACACGGTGCAGGGTTATGTCACAGTTCCCTTTGCATGGAGACACAGTGCAGGGACATGTCACAATTCCCTTCACCAGGAGACACAGTGCAGGGACATGTCACAATTCCCTTCACCAGGAGACACAGTGCAGGGACATGTCACAATTCCCTTCACCAGGAGACACAGTGCAGGGACATGTCACAATTCCCTTCACCAGGAGACACAGTGCAGGGACATGTCACAATTCCCTTCACCAGGAGACACAGTGCAGGGACATGTCACAATTCCCTTCACCAGGAGACACAGTGCAGGGACATGTCACAATTCCCTTCACCAGGAGACACAGTGCAGGGACATGTCACAATTCCCTTCACCAGGAGACACAGTGCAGGGACATGTCACAATTCCCTTCACCAGGAGACACAGTGCAGGGACATGTCACAATTCCCTTCACCAGGAGACACAGTGCAGGGACATGTCACAATTCCCTTCACCAGGAGACACAGTGCAGGGACATGTCACAATTCCCTTCACCAGGAGACACAGTGCAGGGACATGTCACAATTCCCTTCACCAGGAGACACAGTGCAGGGACATGTCACAGTCCCCTTCACCAGGAGTCATGGTGCAGGGACATGTCACGGCCCCCTTTGCATGGGGACACAGTGCAGGGACATGTCACAGCCCCTTTTGCATGGGAACAGTGCAGGGACATTTCACAGTCCCCTTTGCATGGGGACTCGGTGCAGGGACATGTCACGGTCCCCTTTGCATGGGGACACAGTGCAGGGACATGTCATGGCCCCCTTCAGGAGGAGACATGGTGCAGGGACATGTCACAGCCCCCTTTGCCAGGGGACACAGTGCAGGGCCACGGCCCGGCCCCCTTCGCATGGGCCAGGTGATGCAGGGCCACGACGCAGCCCCCTCGGCCAGCCCCGTCCCCGGTGGAGCGCAGCGTGCTACCG